GATTTTGAAACAAGATAAGTACAAAAAGAGTGCAGACATTTATTCATTTGCTATCACAATGTTTGAAACTATATCTTGGCGAGAAGCGTACCCCAAAAGTGAATTTAAATATCCATGGAAAATAGCAGACTTTGTGAATGGTGGAAATCGTCTCCAAAAACTTGATTGTATGACTAATGAACAGTATGAACTGATATCAAACTGTTGGGAACACGAAAAAGAAGAAAGAATCACCATTGAAACTGTAAGAGAAAAACTTCAAAATATGATGAGGTGATAATATGAATTAATTATTTTATATCATACATTTATAAAAATTTATTAATACAACACAATAAACAATCAAGTTAATTGAATAAAAAATAAATAATTATAACCAACTTTAAGAAAAACAATATTAATAATTTAAATGAAAAATAGTCGTTTTAGATACAAAATTTGTTTTATTGCAAACCACAACGTTTCTTTGAAATTTTGTTTTTTCCAAGTAAATAACAAAAAACGGTTTTCAATAAAATAATAGTTAAAGTGACTTCCCAAGGTGTGCAAGTTAGTTTAAAGGTGTGCAAGTTAAGGTATAGTTCATTTATAATTTTTTTATTAAAAAAATAGAATCATTAATTTTTTGAAATTTTGAAAAAAAAAAGTTTATTTTTAGTTTAATTATTAATTATAATTTTGAAGTTATTACTAAACTATACTTTAACTTGCACACCTTGTGACGTTGCAATTTTTAACTTTCACACTTCGAATACAATTAATCAAGCAACAATTTCGGGAAAGCGACCCAATGGAAATTATCGAAGGACCAGTTCTGGACAACAGTGCACATCGATTTGTAACAATGAACTGCACCTATTAAACAGACTATTTGTTATTGTTTGCTATAAAATGGCACGGAGAAAAACATAATGTTTATCATACTTCTTCTTGTCGCTTTGAATCACGATGACACAAGAGACATCGACAATTATTCACGTCTTGAAACAAAACAGTTTTTACATTAAACACATAGACAAACCATAACCCAATTATTATAATTTAATTTGCTTTTTGTAGTTTATTAATTCAAGCATTAAGGGGTTGTGTGTTTTTTGAAACAATTTGCAAACGAATAACATTTTTTTTAATAAAATGTTTTTTTACAAAAATTTAGTCTTGCACGCCCTTTCCCTGTAAAAAAGACTAAAAATTTTAACTTGCACACCTTAGGGAAGTCAGTTTACTTGAAAAAATATCTAGTCTAAAAAAGTTTATATAAAATATCAAAGAATAAAATTATTGATTCAAAAAACACATGAATGTTTTTAAAAGTGAATTTAAATATAATAAGCTGATAAAATTAACGAAACAATTTTTTAAAGTCAATATTAATTTTATTAATATTGAGTTAATATTATTAATATGTTTATTATTGTGCTTTCAGGCTGAGATCGTTGAGTCTGTGTTAAGAAGTATCGAGTTAATGCCAAATCAAATAACGGGATATTGTTTTTTTTGAAAAGCCATTTCAAATAATCCAAAGATATTCCGAATTTGTACTAAAATAATATAACGGAATTGGTATTTTTATTAGAAAAAGCTGTACTTTTTATTTTTGTTTTTGTTTTATGCTATTTTTTTAATTTAGATACAACTTCTTGAAAAGAAATTCTGTCAATTGAATTTTGACACCAACAAGACGTGATTATTTTAAAAATGTTATTTGGAATGCAATGAGTGTTTTGAAGTCGTTTACCATTCATAACAAACTCTGCGATTTTCCATGGGTATTTAAAATATTCTTTTGATTACGCTTCACACCATCCAAACACTTCAAATATTGTAATACCAAACGAATAAATATCTGATGACATTTTTGAATTAATTAAACCCGGATTATAGGAAGATATTTTATGTTTAATCATTTTTGTTTAAATTCAGAATAAAGTCGTTTTTATTTAAAAATATCATTTTTGTTTAATGTATGAAAAAACACCAAAAATAAAAACAATATATTGTTTTATAAAATGAAAAGTTTATTTTTATTGTTTATTATAATTTGTAAGTTTTATTACAAATTTAACATTATAAAAATGAAATAAAATAACAATTAATCAATCCAAATCTGTTCTTTTTCTTTTTTTTGTTAATTCTATTCAATAAACTGCTTAAAGAATGTCTTTTCTTGTACTTTCTTTTTATTTTTTCGTTTTTTACAATTTTAGATTCCATGGTTATTGGTTTCTTTGTTTCTTGTTCAATCTGAGCTCCTTGGTATTTTTCACATGGTGTTATTAGCATTTCTTCATCATTTTGGGTTTCTTCTGCTAAAATTAAATATTCTTTTTCATTTTTTTCTTTTGGTGTTTGTATTTTTTGATTTGTTGTTGTTAAATAATCACACGTATCTCTATCCAACTCTTCAACATTTTTTAAGTCTTTCTCATCTTTTGGTTTATGAATTTTTAAAGATTCGATTTCACTTAATGAACTTGAATGATCACTGCTATCATTCAAAATATCATCTGTTGGTACTTCTTCATACAATTTTTCTGATCCTAAAGAACACAAGACTTTAGAAATACCATCTAAAAACTTGTCACTATCAATTAACCCATCAAGGTACACATTGGTCAAATTCTTAATTTGGATATTTTCTTTTGAATAAGTTTTTCCTGGTCTGTTAATATGTCCAAAGGTTTTTAATTTATTAAGTCGTTCAGATTCTTCTTCTTCGTTTATTTTTACTGTTTCTAACCATTGCCACTGTGTTGGCTTCTTTCTTCCAATTCTCTTGAAAAACGCATTGTGATAACTTTCAGTAAAGTTGTTGGTTCTTGTTGACTGAGAAAACTGACACAACATTTGAGGTGGGTATATACCATTTATCCACACCTTTTCAAAATAATTATATAATATATTCAGATCATCATCATTGATCAAGATTGATGCAGCTTTCATTTTATTAAATTGTTGTACAATTTCATTACTACGACAAAATGCAATTGATTTGAGTTTTCTGACTTGTTCACAAAACACCGCGTCGTGTTCTAATTTTGATTTCATACCATGTGTTGTACAAAACCGCCAAATTGATTGTCCGTAATGAAAAAGGCATCCTTTGACAGTTGTTTGTGTTTTATTTTTTAAAACGTTTACTATTGCAATTTCGAAATCTACATCGTTATCGTGTCTTTATCAAATAATTTAATACCAAATTCATTTCCAAAATTTATAATGACTTCTATCATTTTTTCATATGTAGATTGTAATTTGTTCATCAACAAACAATGAAATAAACGAAAACATTGCCCCTGACTAATCAAACCGTGTATTGTATATAATTGGTAATAAGGAGTTGGAGCGGCTCTGAAAGTTCCATCCATAAGAAAGGTGTTAATTGTATTAAGATTAAGCATTTTTTCTTTATTGACAAATATTGACATAATATCATCTTTGTAAAGCAAATACTTGAAATAGATTTCGTGCTGTACAAGATATCCATTTGTTGGTCTACTTTCTTTTGCTTTTTTCGTGAACAATTTGTTCGCTGAAGACATTCTTCCTTTATACTTACCATAATCAAATCCCTGCATTGCAGCAGATCTTTGCAACAAATGATTATGATCTTGGACACGTCTTTCTATATCGTGAACCAAGTTAATTTTGTCCAACTGTTCAGATATTGCATGGTTGTGCTCACTACCGTTAACAAAAATAGCTTCTTCGAATTCCAGCAAAGCACTTTCTTTTTTAAATTTAGTAATTTTAATTTTAACTTTGCAACCAGTTTTACTACTTGAACATTTGTAAGTATTTTTGGATGCTCCATCTTTGTAAAACAAAAATCCATCAACTACTGGAAGAGGTGTCCATTTAGTACTTATTATAGTTGTTACAATATTTTTATTTGTTGTTGTTTCATCTTTTTCGATAAAAAGTTTGTATCTTTTTTTTCATTGTTCACTGTTTGAACAACTTCTTCTATTTGTCTACCATTTGTGTAATCATTAATAAACGGTTGTTGTGTTTGGTAAATAATAGGCTGATGCCAAATAATATAAGAAAGTTGTGTGCCAGAAGGAATCATGTTATGATTATTTAAAATTGGTATTTGAAGATATTTTGAGCTTTTGAGTGGAAATGATAAAGAACATACAATAAATATGTCGATATTTATATTTAACTTGCAAAAACACGAATTTTAAAAATAAAATTGATTTATGTAAACAAAAATGACTTTTTTAAACAAAAGTGATTAAACACAAATATCTCACTCTGGATTATATTGTATTTTAAAATATTAACAAGAGATCAACCCTACACGAGGGAGACACCACAAAGTGTGAGTTGTCAAAAGTAGCTACCGATGCCTCCGATAAGCGAGATCTCCCACCGGAAGGTGGCCCGGTGGCTGGATAGGGTCTGGTAAACCCTAAAGGCAATTTCCCAGGAAGAGTAAGTCGAGCCTTCTCACCTCGCATCTTCGCCGTTCCAGCAAGTCCTAACTCTGCGTTTTCAAAGGCTTTGAAGGAAACGCTTTGAATTTAGAGAGTCAGATTGTCTCTCCATTCGATCCTCAAACAGATTCTTGCCATTTGAATAGCACAGGACCGCTATTTGACTTTGGCTTGGATAAAACCTGTTAATACCAGGGGCAAAGATGTGGGTTATAAAAGATGACTCCTCGGCGCTATGTAAACTCTTTAAATGTTATAAGAGTAAAACATAATTGATTTCTTCTGTTTTAAAATATTAACAAATATAATTTAAAAATCGAATAAAGTTGAATTTGATTTTTATCATACCATAAAAATGTTTTGGTGTTTTACCGAAAACAAGTTTTATTGATTTAAATGTTTCATAATAATCATATTTGTTATTTTGGGTGTATTTATATTTATTTATATATCAACCTCATAAAATGTTAATGCTTCAAAACCGACTATAAAATATCAACTAAATTATTATTTAAACAATAAATGCGACTTGAAAGAGTATACTTAATGAATGTTGTTTTCTATATGGATCTTAAATCAATTGATAGTTTCATATATGTCAACAAATTGTGTCTCGAAATTGTAAATTCGTTATACACAATTCCATATTCAATTGAATGTAATGAACAAACATTAATCAAAATTTCGAAACTGTTTACAAATGTGGAAACACTTAAAATTGATGACAAAAACTTCAAAAAATCTCTTTCTTATGATAATTTGATTACTTCTTTTCCAAACATAAAAATACTCAATTATAAAAAACATTCAAATAAATTAATCGACACTAAAATGA